GTTGGTAAGAGTCGATCTTCCTTTAATGAAGCCTTGTTGTTGAGGTATAACATTTTCATGGATTAAAAAGGAGGACATTTTTTCGGCAACAATTGATTCCATAACCTTGCAAATAACTGGTAGGAGGCTGATCGGGCGGTAGTTATTGGGATCAAGTTTATTGCTTTTTTTTTAAAGATCGGAGTAGCAGATGCAGATTTCCAGGAGGAGGGAAGAGAACCTAGAGTGAAGGATGTATTCATTATTATAGAAAGAGGGTATGACAGAACGCCTGCGCATTTTTTTAAGAAATAAGGTGTTAAGCCGTCAAGGCCAGGGGATGAGTTAGCTTTAATACCTAGTAAATTATTTTTGATTTGGGTTTCAATAAAAAAAATATATTTTCAAGTGAAGCTAAATTATGTGTGTAATAATATGGGATAGTACATCGTTTGGTGGCTCGATGGTGTAGGCATTGGAGAAAGTGAGCGATAAGATCTCAGCTGTTTCGAAATTGGAGGAGCATAAACTTCCATCAGTCTTTTGAAGAAAAGGAGTGGCCACTTTGGATGAGAGAGAAGACCGGATGTATTTAAAGATTTTTTTAGTATTGTCACTGTTAGCGATTGATTCTTTGTAAGATTGCCTCGTAGAAGACAGATGCCGCTTGAGCTGGTTGGAAAATCTTCTGTGGCAGATGAAATCGTCGTTTTCTTGTGTGTTTCTATAACTTCTCCATAGATTGCGTTTATGGTTTATCATTTCTAGTAGTTCCCAAGTGATCCAGGGTTTTAATTTGTTGCGATAAACTCTTCGTTTAATAGTGTTTTTTGAGAGAATTTGTGTAGTGATGTTGTGAAATTTGTTCCACATAGATGAACAATCATTAGAGGCCAGCAGTAAGTTATTCCAATCAGTAATTGCAAGCGAATGATCAACTTTAGTGAAGTCAAATTTCTAACGTTGAGAAATGTTCTTCCGATTTAGGAGAGGGTAGATTGAATTGTACGTGTGCCGTTATTACTGCGTGATTTTCCAATAGGAGTACTAACCTCTAGGGAGGACAATAATTGTGTGTCATTTGTACGAGTATTGAAGGTTCATTATTGATTCGGAAGCGTGTTGGTTGAAGAATCAGTTGAGATAAGTTGGAATTTTCATGAAAGTTCATAAAAAGATTTTTGGAGTTGTTGCCGTTGGGAACATTCATAATCGACCAGGAAATATCAGGAAAATTAAAGTCTCCAATAATAACTGTGTGATCAAGAATGGATAGATCTTTAAGTTTTGATAGCAGCGTAATGGTGTCGTTTAAAAGAATGTCACCGGGTCGATAAATACATGCAAGATGTACAGACGTTAAATGTTTGGTAATTTTTATACATATTACATATATATTAGATTTTTTTATGTGTACAGTAGATAGAAAGAAATTATTTACAATATTTTTTGATAAGTAAATACAAACGCCACCACCAATTTGGTTTTCTCGGTCGCTGCGAAAGATTGTGTATCCGTCGATATCAATTAGTGAGTATTACGGCTTGGACGTGATTTGCTAACAATATTGAGACAGTTATGGATATCTTTATTCTAAAGACGAATAGAGATTGACATGTTGCCCATTCAATTGTTAGACAGACAAAACTTCTGTTGACAGTTGGGTCTTATACTAGTGCTCGCCCAGTGGTCGAAATTCGACCATAATCATTATTGAAAATTTGAGGAAAACACATATGCATTTGCATGTTTTTAACATTTTTTTAATTTTTATATGTTCAATAAAGTTCAAAGTTCAATAGTAACTCACAATTTAAAAACCCTCATTTATAGATATAATATGAAACCTAATTTTTTAAATTTTGAGGTTACTCCTGAGGCCCCTAAAAAAAGGGGGATTGGGTGTGAGTAACCCCCATCGCTCTACTATATCCGATCTCAGCTTGCATCCTGTCATTAAATATATCGAAAATAATCATTAACAGCTCAGAAAACGCATCCAAAAAAGGGGTGGGGGATGAAGGTCGGCCCACTCTTCAATTATTTATAATATCTATACAACCAATATCTGAAAAAACGCGAATTATAAAAAAAAACGTTTCGCCCCACCTACACTTAGGGGGGGGGGGGAGAATTTACCCACTTCCATCTACATTTAGAGAGGTTGAAATGACTTGACCTTAAGAAGGTAAAATTTTTTCGTTTCAAAGTCCAATCCGTCGTACCCGAAGTTCCGAAGTTCATTTTCCTAAGTCTAGGGGTTCTATATATCGACCTCCTATGGGGTGGGGGGTGGCGAGAACTTGTGCAATTTGAAATCGTTGCAAGCGGGGTCTACGGCCCTGCTTTTAGTTCTTATCTAATTTGATACCTATATTTATAGATTATTATAATAAAACTGGGTTGTTGTTATTTTTGTAAGTAAATTATACTGTTTATACATCCTAGAAAGTGACAAAATATATTTTTTATTTCTGATATAAATATACATTGCATGTTTCCTCTGTCCAACGGGTCATTGTTTTTTTCTATAAAATTATTTGTAACTACTTTTTACTATAAAATTCCTGTAGAAAACCCTTTTTTCAATAATGTAGGCTCTTTTAGTAAAGCCCTTTGACTTTTCTTGATTTTCGTTGTGTTTAATGCTTGCAAGATACCATCTCGTTTGCTTTTAAATGTATGGTGGACAACGCTGCAATTAATTTAATAATTGCGAATGATATTTTTGGAATAATATTCAAAAATCTTACCATTAGCTTTTAATTTCAGTTTAGACTTAGTTCCTTTATTACTTCTAACGATTTTTGTTTGTAAAAATTAAAACTTGTTTGGCAGGCGACAGTAACACTATTGCTAGCTACAGGCTTGTCAAAATTTTAAAATATTTCGGATTATAAACAAAGTGTGATCTGAATTCAGCTCGGAGGCCGTACTCTAATCCAAAATGTTTAAAATAAACCATTCACACAATAATAGTTCTCTTTATAATTCAAATAAAAATTAATACATTTAAAATTTGATGGAAATCATTAGATGATTTTTCCTTTTGTAGCTTGTCTTTCCAAAAATCAAACTACCGATTTTATAAAAATTCTAACACCAGAACAAAGTTCAAAAATAAAAATATAATAACACCACTAAATAATAAAATATTAGTTTTTTATTAAAAAAGTAATGTACGACAGCAAGTAAAATATGTTCTGTCAACACACTTTTTCATTCCGTGACGTCACTGCGTCCTTAGTAACCGTGATTAAGCCACAGTGTTGTCTACGAACCATGGGCTAAGACCAAGCAAGACAGATACAAATCATGTCCGTGATAACTACTCATTAATTAAATCTAATCAAATATTTAAAAAGTATAAAACCTGTAAGCTTCTCATATGTAAATTTTTTCAAGGCATACCTAGAAATATTTTTTGGGGATCACTCTTTATTCCTGACAATGAATTTTTACATACTTGTACATACAAGGTGGATTCTGTTGGAGAGTTTATGTTTCGATTAGAAAACTCTAAAAGAATGAATTACGGATTCTTCTTTTTTTAACACCTAGTAAGTTTCTTGTTATCTACAATTTTGTATTTTTTTAAATTGCAGGCCTTTTAAGCCGAAACTATTTGTAACAGAGGAAATTTTTATTAAATATTCTTTGTTACGGATTTCAAGCTTTATTCTACTTGATAACCGACTACATTAAGGAAATGGTTATAAACTTTCAGTCTTAATTTACCTAATTTATATGGGCTGGAGTCACTTCAATTTATTGTAAAGCGCCACTTGTTGAATAATTGTGGAGCCAGAAGAAACTCATAAAACTAGAGCATCAAAAACGTTTATTTAATGATAATAATATTACAATAATAAAAATTATATAGGTATATAGATTTTAATTTCCAGAAACTTAATGTAATAAATATTAAAAATAATTAAAAATTTATGAGTTTATGACAGGCAACTAAAGTTTTAAAACATCTATGCCTTTGCCAACCTTTTATAGTATTTTTGTAATGTCAAAGTTTTAAGGATCAAATGCACTGTAATTTCACAAATCATGGAAGAAATTAGAACATAAATAAATGTTACAATTATATTCAGTTGGAATTGTTATACAAGGTGTTAATATATTCAACCGACAACTCTCTACCCCAGAGAGCTCTCGTTAATTGATGAATTTTGATAACGAACATGAACCATTAAAAGGCTTGGTTACCGAGATACAGGGTTTTAAAAGTTTTAACTTAAAATTCAAAATTTTCCATAAATTAAAAAGTATATTTGCTTAAATATTTTTTCAAATTTGACCTACCAATATTTTGCCAAATACAGAAACTATTAAAAATTTGATACGTACATACTATATTAGAATTTAGAAATATTGTGTTGTTACATATTATTTAAGCAAATGCAGACTTTTGTTTGGATCAAATTTCTACAACACCCTTTATTATCGCTTCACGAAAGGTTACTTTTTTAACTAAAAATGAAAAGAGAATTTCAAAACAAATAATTAAAAAATAAAAAAAATGTTTGTTCCAATGGCGTAAAAATAGGCGGAAAATGTTGCCACTAACCCTGATAGCGCGCCACTGGTTTAATTTTTTAAAAGTTACTTTGTGTCAAAATATTACTTTATTAAAGAGCATATTGGTCACCGAATTTGAAAAAATATTTAAATGCGTTTTTGATTTATCCCAAATTTTGAATTTTGACTTCATACTTTTAACACCCTGTATCTCAGTAGATCTTTTGTGTTTTCGATCTTTGAATTTTTGATATTTTGTGCTTTTGATCTTTTGTATTTTGATCTTTTGTATTTTTGATCCTTTTTTTTAATCTTATATTTTCGATTTTTTGTGTTTTAGATCTTTTGATTTCGATTATTTGTGTGTCGATTTCTTATACTAGATCTCATTTATTTGCTAAAACTAATTTATTGTTTTTATTTCTGATCTATTATTGGTCCGTCAACAAATATTAATTTAAAATATCCTGTATTATAATGTAATCTTTCAGGTGCACACATGGAAATCCTACGAAGAGAAATATCAAGAATCAATAACCAAATCAGACGCGGAATTCATAGACTACAGGACACGTTATCATTGGTAGAAAAAAATACACAAAACATTCAAACCAACTGCTCGTCAGTAGGCGAAGAAGTAGAAGAAATATATAGAAGACTCAATAAAGCATTAAAAGATAGAACCGAATATCTGCGCGGAGAACTAGATAAATATCTGAGTACAGAATTAAGAAGTTTAACTAATCTAAAGGAAAATCTAGAACAAGAAATATCTAATATTTTAAGTAACTGCGACTTAGCTGATAAACATATGAACGAAAATGTAGATATCTGGGATGACTGCGAACTTATGGACGCAAAAGAAATATTTTTGAAAACCGTAGAATTCATCCGTAACTTTGAATACGAAAATTCTGACTACAGCCGAAAAGTACGTCTAGTATTAGGCCATGATCCCAATCAACTCGTCCTTCATGTAGCTGGCTTTGGAGATTTAAACATAACAAACGCTAACTCCGTTTTCGGACAGTCTTCAAGTTTATTACAACCACCAGTTCCAGGTCTGATGAGGTCTAAAAGTGATCACCGACTTGCTTCACAATTTCGGCAACAAGAAGAAAGAGGCTATGGTGAAAGAGGTTATGGAGATGAGGATCAAGTCTTATCAGGCCGGAAATTTGGCGAAAGGCCCAAAAGTACTGGAGAAAGTAGATACGGTAGAGGAGGCGATTATGGAGATGATTATGATCATGATTCTAGACCAACTAGGTCTAAGTATAGCAGTAGATTTAGAAGACATCCAACTACTGAAAATGATTCCGATTCAGAACAAACTCCAAGGGTTAGATTCAATGAACACAAAGAAAGAGAAAGAACTCTTGATACAGAAGATGTCGCTAAAGGACCATTGAGTGGTATAACTAGATTAGCTGACTCCCCTAGAGTTATGAAAAAGATGCAAGAGTGTGAAAGCGGAAAGACTAAAAAGAAGGAAGATCCTCCAAAACCCCCAGAACCTAAAGTAGTGCCTAAAAGACCTCCTCCTCCGGCAGTGAGACAAGTCAGCGAGGAGGACGAGATATCTAGAATAAAAAAACAAAATAAAGGGGCCACCACCTCAACGGAGACAACAGCAGAAATGCGGCCTGCTGCTGAGGATAGGCAGAGAAAGACTCCAGTCCCTGAGGTGAGTTTAGATGAACCATAGCCTCTTTACTGAAGTACCTGATTAAATCAATTTTATATCATAGACTAGAATTAATATATATGTTGTGTTGCTTATTACTTCCACAAAATTAACAATATAGAAAAATATAAGAGACTATGTACCTGATCACACACTCTGGCATGTTTATTCTTCTACAAATCCTCCCTTCTTCTTGTTTTTGTGATTGATTGCATGAAGATTGTTTGCAAGATCTTCAAACCCTAACCTACCTATTTTCCTCCAGGCTGTATCTTCCGCTGAAGAATCTGAAGAATCTACAACCGTTCAACAAAGAAAAACACCTACGAAAACTGCTGCCGCTACCCGAAGACCTTCAGATGCCACCCACAAGAAGTCACCACGATCTGCCAGCTCTGATTCATCATCAACGGAATCATCTACGTCTTCTAATCCGATACGTACCACTGGCGCTCCATTTACCACAGAAGAAGTCAAGAAGAAAATCTTATCCAAAGTTGAACCTACGCCGCCAGTTCGAAAGGCCCCTTCTCCGGTGCAAAACAAACCATTTCAGAGCAGATTTTTGCAGAACAAAACATCAACTGCAGCACCTCAGGAAGACGATGAAGTAGAAACTTCTTCCGAAGAGGAAACAGAAACGGAGGAAGAAAGTGACGAAGAGACAGAAAAAACTGACACTAAAGAGATAGCTAAATCTGATATAGGGGCCTTATTGGCAAGAAGTGCTAATGCTAGAGACAACAGCGTTGAAAATATAAGAAGACGTAGTAGAGACGATACTGATTCACCTAGCCGAACTAGATATACCTCATCTAGGGAGAGAGAAAAGGAAGAGCCTCCTAAATATACAAGAACTAGGAATACTACAGTAACAGAAGAAGAACCTCCCAAATATGGGTATACTAGTAGATTTTTAAATAAAAGCAAAAGTTCTGCGGCAATACCACCTGAAGAAGAAGACCATAGCTCAAGGTAAGATAGACACTTAGATAATTAAGTATTAAATATTGAACTTTTATTTTATGTAGGTATAGTTCCGCTGCAGACGATGACAGCAAGTATCCCACTAGTCGTTCCCGCTATATGGCTATGAAAGAAAGAAGACAGCGGTTAGCAAGAAGCAGAAGCAGTCAACAATTTGGCGACGAAGATGAATCGGAAGAAGCAATTTCTCCTACTTCATCTAACCCGTCTGCTTATCTGGCATCGAGAGGATATGGCTCGTCATCATCAGCTCATGATCTTGCAAGAAGCCGTTCTTCTCACGCTCTTAAGTCCAGAGATAACTCTCCTGATAGGTGAGTACAAAAATAGTTTGAACTGTTAATATTTTTATTTAATAGTCTTCATCAATAGTTTCTCCTCCATTTTGTCTTTTGTGTCATTTCGATATCAGTTAGTAAAACAGTTTTATAGAACTCGTTTGTCACATAACTTTATGTCGCTTATCCCCAATTTAAGCACCCTGGACTTTCGCTATTCGTAATGTTCTTATTTAATTCTTCATTGCTTTGTAGAACGGGTGAAAGTACCTACTGTTATGTACCTAAAAATCCATCACCACAAAAAACTGGCTATGATTATTATCAAAACTGTATTTTAAGTACCATGTTTTGTGTCCACTAATCATCAAACCCTTTTCCTCTAACACCTGATCACTAATCTAACCTCTCATCTTTCTTCGAATTGATGAGTAGCACCACATTATCTGCATGCATTAAACTGTAGAGGATTTCTACCTTAATATCTCCTCTAATTTCATCTTGTACCAAAGAATTAACCTAAGACTGGAATAATATTCGCCTTCCAACATTTCATTGTATGCCTCTTAATTTATATATTCTTTTTAAGTTGATGCATTGTTTTACGTCTCCTTTGTTTTTTCTTTTAGACAACAATAACAGTACTGCCTTTCCATATACCCGCCAGTTTTTCGTCTTCAAGAAAATATTAATAAGTTCATTAAATAAAGTAATGCATTTGTTCCGTTAGCTGCCTTGCCGTTTTGATATAAAGGATCCTGTCATTTAATAAACCCCACTGAATCCTATTTACAAACCTTTTCGTCTTGCCTTTTATGTGCTGTTACAAATTATTAAGATTTTTTCATCAGCTTTACCTATCCTAAACCGAGTTTTGGATAGTCCGAACATATCACTGGTAATAAGAAGGCGTTTATCCTGCAAAACATGGGAATTAAAAGCCAGAATTACTAAATGAGCGTGCGACCCATGATAATATGAATATTAAACAATTATTTGGTTGCCTAATATTAAAAAGGTAACAGTAATAACTCGTAACTCGTGTGAATTTCTAAATATAAGCACACTAGAATATCTAAGCACATTATCTGTCGATTTCCATTGTGAAAGAAGAACCAGTAAAACATATATTGTACTGTTTTGGAAAGAATTAGGCTCAGAACTTACAAATATTTCCAACGTAACTTTAAACATATATATTGTACCTGTTCTATTTTGGAAAGAATTAGGCTCAGAACTTTCAAATGTTTCCAACTAGCAACTTTAAACAAATCATGGCCTTCATTATAAGGTGAACTATAATTTATACATGAGTTACAATATACTATGAGGGATAGAGTATGCCCTGTGGAGTGGGCGGACAGAATAGCTCCACCCGGGAATTGATCATCGGAGTGGTAGAATCCCACCAAATACCATTTCTAAAAAATGGGGGCATCTAGAGACATCCCGCGGCGACGTCATTAACCTTAGCTGGTTACCCTTAGAGATCCCAGCAGCAACTAACTGGTTTTTGATTAGTTGATTACCTGTACTTTGATGAGCAGGGAACCTGGCTGCCTCTAGATACCCTTCCCAGTGACAATTAGCAGGTTTTTGACGAGTTGATGATCTGCAGGACTTTGATAAGCTGGGAATCTGGCTATCTCCAGGGAGAGACAGGTTCTATATGCCCCAAGAGGATGCACAATGGTCCTAGTGAGATATAAGTGTTGTGAAGCATCCCACTCTTACTTACATATACAGATATACCCTTAGAGGTTGCAGTGGAAGGAGATATATTATACGTCCCACTCCTTTTCAACTGAAACATAGGTGCACTGAATGGCTCATCCCCAGTGGCTATGAATGTCACTCTAAACTTAGCACTGCTAAAACGGCGACTTCTAAGGAACGTCGAAATAATTAAAAAACAAATCACCAACATAATACCAGGCAGATTGAACTCGATAAATTATAACTTGTTGATTTGTGGCATCAGCCAAGACTAGAATGAAACGAACCACCTCAAATTCAAAACAGCAGCATATGGTACACTGATGGCTAAATTACCGAGAGTGAACCAGGAATGTATGGACTATGACAATGGAAGGATTCTATTTAAACCTGGGGAAAAACTCATTGCTTGAAATCGATTCCCAATCTGTTTTAACGAAAACGTAGATATGAAATACTTCAGTAAATCCATTTATATGGCTTCAGATAAGCAGGTAGCCTTAAAAGCTTTCATATCAAATCAAGTAAACTTCAAACCTGGTTTGAAACTGGTAAAACAAACAGGTAATATTTAAATGGATGTTCGGACATAGTCAATTAGAAAGCAACGGACAAGTTGATACCAAGCTGACAAACAAAAATCAGAACAGGTTCTAAACAAGTTTGTCAAATAGCGTTCACAATCTGGTAACCAGAAAACGATAAGAAGCTTCTGTTCTCGGAAACTGTTAAAACTAAACCACCAACAAATTAGCCTGCCTCTGGCATATTAAATGGCGAAAACAGTCTAGCAGAATAAAAGGTCACCGAGCTGTACTAGGAATCATAAAACCAACCATACCAAAAAAATACTACCCTAATTAATTTTATTAATGAAAATGTATTTAAATAAAAGCTGTTTTTGGTGAATTAATAACACAGCCCCAGCTTAGAAATGGCCCTCCACGTCTGAAATTAGCCCCAGGGGCCAAAAATGGCCTCTATATGTCCTGAAAGGTGGAAGAGTCAGGACTGGCCCAAATCGAGTTCCTGAGGGTTTTCGAGGTCGCTGATCACGATTATGATGTTCAAATTGAACCACAGCCGACCTGGAGCTTAGGAACGCCGATGAACGTTTTATCTACGGGGACTACCCAAAATTCACGTGGGTAAGAAGAGAAACTCGGCGCTCGGGAGTTTTTTGGGTTGCTAAATTCAAATATAACATCGGAGAACACCCCATGAAGGACCTGATGCGCTGGAATCGGCACGTGGACGTCAACTCCAAGAAATTTCTTGCTAAGATTGCAAAAAACAAGTCGAAAAACCTTGTAGGGGTATTTTTTGGGGCCCTTGATCCAAATTTCACGGCGAAAACGATTCCCGAAAACCTAGTTCACCGAAACGTCGTCTTCGAGGGTTCTCCAGACACAATCGCTAAAGACAAACCGAAAATCGTCACGGGGATTTCTAGGCACGCGGAATCCAAATTCCATCACTAAAACGTACCTCCGGAGATCTGGTGTACCGAAACTCCGGCCTGAACGTCATCTGAGAGCGTTTTCCTCACACAATCGAGACTACTGTGTCTTATAAGAGATCCCCGTATATGTATGTATATACTTCCATATGAGGAAGTAAAGTCGGGGACTCTATACTCTATTGTTTAAACTACTCTTTATGCTTGACAATCAAGTGTAGAGAAATACATGGGTAAAGGATAGACGCATTAGAATCGGTGGATGGGGCATTTGGGATCTTTCAGATACCGGGGAAAACTATCACAGGAGTAATTCTTGAATTAAGGCCGTAACCGAGGGTGATGAAACCTTCCCGACGTCAAATCTATTCGCAGAGTAGAAGAACATTGACTTCACTCAATTTTCATGAGAATACCAATCGATTACTACGTCCCAAACACAACTTTCCGGCCCTTAAGGGGTCGTTTTCCCGGTCCTAAAGGGGGAATTCCAGTTGGCCATAAACTTTTCGAACACAGTCTGAGTTCGAGAACTAGGACATAAATAAGGACATAAAAATACCACTGTAGCGATTGCAACGTCCGAAACACAATTTTCCTGCCCATAAGGAGTCATTTTCCCGGCCCGCACGGGGAATTCCAGTTGTCTGTGAACTTTTCGACCACAAACCCGACTTTGGATTTAGAATGCACCTTTAACCACGCATCATCTCGGAATCCACCTTTTAGGCCATATAGAGGCCAATTCCAGACGTGGAGGGCCATTTCTGAGCTCGGGATCGGATTCAGCGTCGAAAAATACATGTCTGCTAAGTCTGAACACTTTTTCTTTGTGAAGCTGTGTAATATTTAATTTTGTAATACGAAAACTGATTTGAATAGAACGAATAAGCATTTACTTTTATTGAATTTTTTCGGTATCGGCCAATTTCTCTTTTTTCAGAGTTTCAATTTTTGGTTCTACGGGAAAACTTAAAAAGTATGCTCCTGCGAAAACAAGTTCTACCTTACTTGATAAGTCACCATATACAAAAAAGGAATTTAATAATATTAAGTATGATATATTTTGTTTTTGCATTAACTACAAATGTTTTGTAGGTTTTGAAAACGATTTTTTTTATTTTTCACTTTTTTATTAGTGTTTTTGAATGATTTTTTAAAATGTACTTTCAGTTCGTGTTGTACAGATTTTTGTATTTTTTCTCACATTATTGAACTACCAGACACTCTGCAAACTATTACACATGAGTTTTTTAAAATAATAAATAGAATAATTTAAAATAAAGATCACAAACATTTTTATCAAAATCTTGCACAATAAAATGAACGGGAAAACGTTTTTGGGACAATTGCACGTTCGTATTGAAACGCACCAAAAATATTTTAATTTATTTTTAAGTTGATGGCACAATATTGGAAATGAAAGTCCGAAACTATAAAAGATCAATTACTATTATAAATTTTAGAAGTGTTTCTTACCTGTACAATGAATTAGAAAGAAAGTTGTATACCAGAACGAGAAAGAATAAAAATAATATTATATACAGTTAAAAATAAAAGTGGTAATAAAATAAAAAATAAACTGAACTAAAAGGAAGTTTAAAAATAAAAGGTTTATGAATAAAGAAAAAATGGAAATTAAAACAATAAACTATTAAGATTCGATAAGCAGTGCTTGGATAGAAAAAATTAAAAGAAGACCAAACCTTTAATTGTGGTGAAGGTACGATGAGGAGAAAATGAAATAATAAGTATTTTTAAATCATGATTTCCTGTTTTATGTACTGTAGCTTTAACTTCTCATAGCAAAAAGAAAACAAATGTCAATAAATATTACGCCAAATAATAAATTAAAGGCAATGATAGGGCCAGGTATGGAATTTTTGGTATCGACAAGAAGACATATCTCTCAAATTGCGGGCTGAATGCTGAATTGAAGTTCCTAGAGTAGTTGGGAAGACAAAATATAATAAAATAATTACATGCACACTATAGAAGGTAATTTAACCAAGGACCAATAGAAAAAAAATTGGGCAGATAAAATTGTTAATAAGTTTATAATAAGAAGAAGAAATAGAAAAAGGGAAATAAGGTTAAATAAACATTGGTTAGAGTACATAAAAGAGATACCATAGTCACGATAAAAAGATTAAGAGGACATTTTAACATATTTGGACTATTTTTATGTTAAAATTTTTTGATATTTTAAGATTTTAACTTAACAGTTGAATGCTTTTATGTTTTCGTTCTTTCATTCTTTCCCTTATTTCCACATAGTTTAATTTTTAAGAGTGAGTAGCAGTCAAATTTTTGTAATGTTTTATTTTCCATGGATTACCGACATAATCCCCGCCGCAGAATCCCCGGCGATAAAACCCCTGCCGACAAAATCCCTGCGACAAAATGCCCAGCGCGACAAAATCCCTGGAAACAAAAATCCCACTAATAATAAAAATATATCCCGGAAAACAAATCCTTTGGATACAAAAAAATAATTGCTTACAATACCATAAACTCGCACAACTCAGAAATTTTATTCTAACAATAAACTCATGAATTCCAATATCGATGATAAATTCAAATTTATGAATAATTATCTTAATAACAAAGCTGAAAAACTTATTTCAATAATTAACGCAAACAATATGTACATGGTGTCTGATTAAGGACTCGTAGCGGCTGTATCTCAGAAACTATTGATCCTACGCTTCGAAAAAAAAATTTTTTATAACAGAAACGGTCAAGAGCAAATGCTGTAAATCGCTATGGTAATTCAAAAAAATCACTTTTCCCCTATAAATGTCTAATAATAGTATGATAATAATAATCGAACGGTAATTTTGATTAAATTTTACAAAAGTTTTATTCAATACTTTTTGCTCTATTCAATAAAATAACAGGTAGGGGCGATTGGGAACCTTAATTTAATAAATGTATTATAACTACGGTGTCGTTTATCAGATTTTAAAAAACTTTGTATCGATTAAAAGCAAAATAATTGTTAAATATTTCAAAATAGTTCTGATTCAGTTGTTTAAAAGAGCACTAGGTGGCGTTGTATAAGCAGTAACCATTTTTTTGAAGTTTTCTTGAAAAATTTAAATGGAATGTTATAATTTTTATACGTTATTTAGAAGGAGAATTAAATTCTGACAAGAAACAAAAAAAAAACGCGTCTTTTATCTTTTTCCTAACCGAATATAAGCAAAAGTCTATTAAGGGTGAATAGTCCACTTAAATATTAATAAATAAAGTTATTGATATATTAATCAAGTTGGCTTTGAAAGGTCAGTAAGCTTAAATGTCAAATTAATTATATTTTAATAAGTTAAAAGACATCATGCCTTACAGTAATTCCGAAGCTTATGACATGTTAAAAGTATATTTTGAATGTTTTGAGAACGCCCCGATTGCATCCAGAGAATATGCGTTGAGATATCCTCAGCGAGTTTTACAAACAAGAGAAACATTTAAAAATCTGGCGATTCGTTTAAAAGAAACTGGCTGTGTTCAACCTAAAAAAGCTATTCAACGACATAGAAGAAGCAGAACGGAAATTAACGAAATAAATATATTAGCATACGTTGCTGCAAATCCACATATAAGTATACGGAAAATTGCTTCCGACTTAGGACTTACTAGGTACTGCGTTTGTTCTATTTTAAAACAAAATCGTCTCCATCCATACCATGTAGCCCTTCATCAAGGTCTGAAATTAACAGATTATGATAAAAGACTGGCTTATTGTAATTGGCTTAAGAATATGCTTAATGAGGATCCACAATTTTTATCACATATAATGTGGTCCGACGAATCTACATTTTCCAGTAATGGATCTGTAAACAGGCATAATATGCATTACTGGTCTGACTACAATCCTCATTGGATGCGAGTTTTTAATCAAGGTCGGTGGTCAGTAAATGTGTGGTGTGGAATTTTAGACGGTAAAATTATAGGTCCTATTATTATTAATGAAAATTTAAATGGTGAGCGATATTTAACATGACTGAGAGACGAATTGCCTATTTTATTAGAAAATATTTCACTAGAGGTACGCCGCAATATGTGGATACAGCAGGATGGCTGCCCAGCACATTATACAAATAATGTAAAAGACTTTTTAAATCAACATTTTCGGAATAGGTGGATTGGAAGAGGTAGTCTATTTCCATGGCCACCAAGGTCTCCCGACCTCACCGTATTAGATTTTTATTTGTGGGGTCGACTTAAAGATTTAATTTACCAAACTCAGCCTGTAAGTAGAGAAGATCTAATTCAACGAATACAAACTGAAATTGATCATATTCCTAGGGCTGAAATAGAAGCTGCTGTCAATTCAACTAGACAGAGACTTGATATTTGCATTGAAAAAGATGAAAAACAATTCGAGCACTACCTCTAATTCTTGTATTGCATTCTCTATTTTGTTCTGTGTTTAGTTACTTGTTTTGTTGTATTTTATTAATATATTCAATTTTTATTTCTCAATTATTTTTATTAAACCAGTAAACTTACACTAAAGAGTTAATTTAAATCCGATTTTAATATTTTTGTCTTAATCGCTTTACAGTTAAGCTATCGAAAAATTACTGACGTTTCAAAGCCAACTATAATAAAATATCAATAATTTTATTTTTTAATATTTAAGTGGACTATTCACCATTAATAGACTTTTGCTTATATTCGGTTAAGAAAAAGATAATAAGACGCGGTTTTTTTTGTTTCTTGTCAGAATTTAATTCTCTTTCTAAATAACGTATAAACATTATAACATTACATTTAAATTTTTCAAGAAAACTTCAAAAAACTGGTTACTGCTTAAACAACGCCACCTAGTGCTCTTTTAAACAACTGAATCAGAACTATTTTGAAATATTTTACTAAACAATCAATTTTCTTTTAATCGATATAAAGTTTTTCAAAATCTGATAAACGACACTGTAGTTATAATACATTTATTAAATTAAGGTTCCCAATCGCCCCTACCTGTTATTTTATTAAATAAAGCAAAAAGTGTTGAATAAAACTTTTGTAAAATTTAATCAAGATTACCGTTCGATTATTATTATCATACTATTATTAGACATTTATAAGGGAAAAGTGATTTTTTTGAATTACCATAGCGAATTACGCCCTCTAACGGTTAAAATAGAAAGTTCAAAATAATTTCCAGCATTTTCTCTTGACCGTTTTTGTTATAAAAAAATTTTTTTCGAAGCCGTAGGATCAATAGTTTCTGAGATACAGCCGCTACGAGTCCAATCGTTCCAATTTTCTGTTCCTACTTACAGTTTCACCTGCATAATAGTAGTTATCACATTTTCCTGTTTTAAAACTTAATATAATATTATTTTTGGATTTATTTTGAGTTATTTTTGGCGCGGAAAATTGTTCTGTGAAAGGCTGAGTATATCGGGCATAAGTATGCTTTATCATGTTTTGAAACCTAATGGAATAATATTTTTCGATTTTTTTGCATTGTTTTTTGGCACGGGTATTTTGTGACGTCGGGGATTTTATCCCCGGAAATTTTGCCACCGCGGATTCTTGTTTCCGGGGGTTTGGTCGTCGGGGATTTTGTCCCCGGGGATTTTGTCCCGGGGATTTGGTCCTGGGGATTAGGTCACCGGGGTTTTTGGCTGGCACCCATTTTCCATTGGACAACTATCAATATGTTTATGTTTATTAGGTCAGCTTCTTCAGCAACCGAAAAAGATGGCGCAGCTCTAAGTTCCTGGGCAAGATATCTAAAGAGCAAATACGGTAATCGAAGCGGTACCAAAGACAAAGATGTTACATCCAGCGTCAGTACCCCATCAGCTAGCAGTTCTGGAGCCGCTAGAAGATTGTCCCTTGGACTACCTTTGAGATCTTCTACTGAATTGGCTAGTTCTGATGATGATTCAAAAAACATGCAAGGCTCCCCCACTACCCCTACAGCAGCTATGGCAGTAGCCGGTAAGTTACGATACTTTTTTATTATCGCACAGTCTTTTCATATGACATAATTTATTTTAGGTATCGCCCAAGCGGTAGCCGGTACCACCCCTAGAGGTCAGTACCTCCAAAAATGCGAGCAGCTGTTTCAAATTGGTAGTAGGGGGAGCGAAGCCGGATGCTTCACGTGGCCGCGCGGCGTAGCCGTCGGTCCTGACAACACCATCGTCGTTGCCGATTCCTCCAACCACAGAGTACAAGTTTTCGATGCCAATGGCAGATTTTTAAAAGAATTCGGACAGTACGGCAACAAGGAGGGAGAATTTGATTGTCTCGCTGGTGTTGCAGTTAATAGAATTGGGCAATATATCATTGCCGATAGATACAATCATAGGATACAAGTAAGTATCACGTTTGTTAACAACTGTCTAAGAATGTACGTTCCCGCAAGTAGGAACAGTTGATAGCTTAACCAGTAGGCAGAGAAAAATAGACTGTCTTTCAAAATTGTTCATTTAAATAATAGTTAAAGAAATGAAAAAAAAAAAAAAGAATAAAACGGTTAAGAAAAAATGATTGAGACCAAATCACTTATCCAAACTACATCTAGGGATGACGTGAGAGCTCTCCTTAATTCCGGTATCCAAGGGATGATCCAGGCTTTTTCCTACCACAGGTTTTTATTCTTTTTTTTTACAGATAAGAACGTTTTGCAGCAAAAATTTAAAGTTTACCGGTTCTCTATACGGTTTATTTCACACTGACCTTTTCAAATGTTTTTTTATCGTACGAATCTACATTCGTGACTCGGTCTCAAAATACGCGTAAAAATATTTGAATCAAAGACATTACAAAATGTCCTTGATGAATTGTTTAATATATTACCCCTTGAAATGACATAAAAATTTGAAATGATTGAGATTCAACAAAGAATGTTTTAAATATCAGCCATTAGTTTTAGTCTAATTTTACTAAGGGATGACCAATAGTCTAAACTTGGGCTCACTGGAAGCAGTCATTCAGTTTAAATAATAGGTTATTCCAAATGACTCTTTTAAAGATATTATTCTGAGCTAAATATGTAACATGTGATTCGCCGGCATCACCTAATCAGACAATTTCCTATGTTTAAATAAACCAAATAGCCAACCATTAACGTTACAAGATGATCCACATACCCACCAAAATAATAAATTTGGCTGTTACACATGATAAGGTCAAATAAATATCACTATACAAAAACTAATCATCTCTTTAATTCAAATTCAATTCAAATGAAAATATATGATTCAATACAATATTATCAACAAACACTATGTACATTTTTATTTACAGATAACGTAACAGTGCTGTCGAATATTAAATTTTTACCACATAAATAGTTATAAAACTAGTTCTTATTGAAAACCAATCGAATGCCACTGGGACCTTTTTTACATTGAATTCAAACAGGTATTGTAGCGAAAATATATCCCTTATGGAACCAACAAAATTACCTATTTGTTTAAAAATGAATCGATTTGAAAATCATACGCTATGCAAAATATGCGTGAAATTGTCTGATGTAATGATCAATCATTGCACCATGACTTACTTACTCGGATTAATAGAGGATTGTGGCTCCAACTTGAAAAACGAAAATTTGTTCCGAATTGTCCACGAATATTTGCACCTAAACTACGCAAAATTCAAAGTGCTGAATGGGAAAAAGGTGAATAAATTAGTGTCTAAATATTATATATATTTTATTAGACATAGACACATAATTCAAAGCATCCAAAGTCCTGCATTTTCGCCATTAAGAAGAAAAGAAGTGGCCGAAGAATATAGAAAACACCTTAGCATTGTAACTAAAATGTATCAAAACTAAACCTATTATGTGAACAAATAAAAACCAGTCTGTCAAAAATGGTCTGTTATTGTAAACGTCAAAAAATTTCCAGTATAATTCGCTGTTGGGTACCCCACGAGAAAAAAATTTCCACTAAAATACCTCCGTTGCCATGGTGATCTGTCAAAAACACGTATTTTGATTGGTTCAAAATTACAGGTGTGGAATTTTCATAAAAAAATCTATATAATTTTAAACTAAGCTTTCAAAGAAACTAAACAATATTTTAAAGTATGATGGGTTTAATTATTCCTTTATGTTGGTTGTACGGGTTGTAACGGAAAGACAACATGTAAATATATTTAGTTTTAAAGAAAATTCCTAGGTAAAAGTTAATGCGATTATATGTGATTTAAATACCAAAAGTCAAAGTCATTTTTCGAGTACTTTAGAACAACTTCTTTTTATAAGAAGTATTTACAACCCCTATGCACACTTCATAAACTTGGGACTATCTAAGATTTTTTGAAATGTCCTTTATTCACTTTTCAAGAAGGTGACAACCCTAGTACAATCCATTTTCAGCTGGCAAAGATTACTCTTTATCTCCCAGAGTTTTTGACAACCCCCATTAACAGCTACCATCGACAATGTCTATTAGGCAGTTCAATGACCTACCAAAATGCTGACAAGTGGGAACTATGGGCCTGTTGTCATTGACATATATTGATACATATATATTTATATAGATTGCTCAAGGCGGGTTGTTTGGCGAGTGGCCATTAATCAGAATTGATTTTGCGAAAATGTGTTTACAAACCAATAGTTAGCCTTTAAATATTGTAAAAAAATAATAACCTATATTTTTACTTCAAGACATAAGCTTATGTTTATTTTGAAAAATATGGATGATCAATCTATGTAACTATTTATTACATTGACCTTGTCAAATCACCAGGACTACAAGGTTGCCATAATTTTGCCATATCATAGCCTGTCATAACCCACTGGTAGCCATTTTGTTTGGAATGGCTACCCATGTTCGGAAACCAATGCAGCTTTTGACAAATACAGAAATAGTTTCCGTGAGGACTACAACATAAAATACACCTACCTATATGCCGTATTGCATAACGACGATTCGCACCGTTACAAATAGAGCATTATTTTTAATAATATTGCTTTGAAACTTTTGCTTTTTACTTGATAAAGTGCGAGGCGCTTCCTTACCATAACAATTAATATTTCATCCTTAAAATAAAATGTCAACGATATTTTTTTCACTTTTATTATAACACAAATTATTCTAACCTCATTTCACTGATAGCCATTTTGTTTGAAATGCCTAATAGGATCTTTAGCTGAACAAATGCGTTTAAACCCACATACTTTGATTTTCTTTTACTATACGGGGAATGGTCGCACTGCGCAGCTTTATGAATGCCTTTTAAAAGGAGATAGAAAACTCCGCCATTTTGAACCCTTATTACGTGTTGCCTACGTCTTGGCGCAATATTTTTAATAGGTGCGTTTTAATCATCCGCTTCTGCTTCGGAATTGTCAGTTTTCTTATTTTAATCTGACAGGTTAAAACGACTAAACCGACAATTCCGGAAGTAGAAGCGGATGGTTAAAACGCACCTGATATTTTGCTTGCTTGCTGTCAGTGTCAGTGAATATTATTTTTGAAGCCACAGTTTATTGTCAAAGAATCACCAGGGATACAAATTCAGGATACGCAGAAGACTGCTGTTTTATTATAGGCGGTTGTCATATATTGTATTATCCGAGTTGCACAGTGTATAAACTGAAACATTGAGATCCAAAGTGCCGACGCAGAGTGAGCGATCTGATTCTTTAGCTGTAAACTGTGTCACAGGGTTCAAAATGGCCGCGCCCTATGTTGGGCGTGTCGGACCTCTCTCTTGCCTTGTATAGTAATCAAAGTATGTGGTTTAAACCAAACTCAATTTTATTTTGACGTAATCAGGCGACGTACAATGCTGACTGCCTAACTGTGCTGACTCTAACAAACGAGTCCCATAGTATTGTTAGATTTCAACAAACGTGCGCAGCGCTCAGCAGGACTATGAGTTTTGCATCGTGCACTGTTCTAACAAACCGTAGCTTTATTTTTCATCTTTCTGGTCTATCTGCTCTACTCTCTTGGTTACTCTGGCTTCTTTCTAAAACTCTTATTTTCTTACCTCTTACTGTTCAGCTTTTTTTATAACTCTTTTAAATCTCTAAAATTTGCCACCTTATCACATAATTTTTCAAAAAATAGCAAAATTTATATTGAATTCTTTTTTTTTTCAGGTGTTTGATCCCTCTGGACGATTCTTAAGGGCGTTTGGAAGTCAAGGAACTGCGGATGGCCGATTTAATTATCCATGGGGCATTACCACAGACGCTTTAGGTTTCATCTACGTTTGCGACAAGGAAAACCATAGAGTTCAGGTATACATTCCTACCTGCTACAGTGGTTGCGAACATTGATTATAGAGGATTAAATCAAATTAATTATTATGTTCTCCTCGAGATCGTAGAATGGAAATTTCACTACCGATGATTTCTCCCAAAAGCAAAATCCTATGTTCGAGATAGCTGTAGCAGCTTTGTACAATTATAAATCGGCAGTAGATTAATTTGCTTGTATTAATCTGTACATATTGGGCCGGGCATTATCGACGAATAATTTAATGTACATACTTTATTTCCAGGTATTCCAATCAGATGGCACTTTCGTCGGCAAATTTGGTTCCATGGGTAACAAAGAAGGTCAACTAGAACATCCTCACTATATAGCGGTATCTAGTACTAACAGAGTGGTAGTGTCAGATTCAAATAACCACAGAATACAAATATTCGACGTAAACGGCAAGGTTTTAACTTCATTCGGGTCCGAAGGGTCAGAAGAAGGTCAATTCAAATTCCCAAGAGGTGTGGCAGTGGATGATCAAGGATATATCTGTGTGGCAGATTCAGGAAACAATAGAATCCAAATATTCAGCCCTGATGGTACGTTCTTAAGAGCTTTTGGTTGCTGGGGAATTGGAAAAGGCGAATTCAAGGGCTTAGAAGGTGTCGCTATGACATCGAATGGACATATCCTGGTTTGTGATCGAGAAAATCATAGGATACAAGTTTTTTAAAAACGAGTTTTATTTTTGACTTATTCATTACATATAACTTTTTTTTTTTTTTCGAAAATATGAAGAGTGTTAACAAGTCCAATAAATTTATTTGCATTTCTTTTGTTTGTTTTCTTTAGTAACATTTTAGTATTCTCTGGGCGTACTTAATATGAAATTAGAAATCGAGCATCACATCTTATATCAGAGAAGTTACGCAAAATTAGTGCATATTTAATTAGTTATTTATTTATTTTAATAAAGTATACAGAACAGGACGAACCCAGGAACAGTTGTTCACTATTAGCTTAACATTAGAAGCAAACATTTCAATTAATCAAAACTAAAAACAGAAGTATTTAAATTTGTATGATCTAAAAAGAATTTCTTTAAAGTCTAAGAGATGACAAAAAATAAGAAAAAATATCGACATTTAAAAGGTTTGATAATGAGTTATATGATTTACAGCACCTAGGTAACTGTAGGAAAATTTATATGATAATTAGTTGTGCTTGATGAATGAATTCTTGTTTACGATTGAAGTATAGAGTCAATCAAATTATTATAGATTTTGTATCGTATATTTGCCTTCTATCTTCTAGTGATATTAATCGTAAATTTTGCTTAATAAGAGATTGATTATTGGCCTGATGCGAATAGAATTTTTTATTAAGATATTTAATAAATTTCTCTTGAACACTTTCAAGTTTAGTTATGTAAATGTTATACTGAGGATTCCAAATAACAGATCCAAAACTTAACACGCTGTTAACGTAAGACAAAAAGTATAATGAAACCAAGTGCCTTCTGTGCTTCAATAATGACGTGATTGATATGATGGTCAAATAATAGTTTACTGTAATAAAAAATGCCAAGATCTTTTACAATAGATACTTTATCAATGCTATAATTATTAAGTAAAATATTTTTGTTTCTAGAAAAAGTAATGTAGTAACATTTGTTGAGATTAAGATACAAGCAATTATTACGGGTGCAATAGGAGAATAAATTGTCAAGATCATTTTGAATCTGTAAGAAATCCAAATTCGTAGCAACAGTATGAAAACCTATAAATCGTCAGCATACATAATAAATTTAAAAAAGGTAAAACAATTGGCAATATCAATTATGTAAATATTAAAAAGCAGCGGTCCCAGATGACATCCCTGCGGTACGCCAGATGGAGTGTGGCCAGATTGGGCGATTTATCAGAAATTGGGCTACTTTCATTATTAGTCGCAAATTGGGCGATTTCAACAATACTGAAAATCGCAAATGGGCGATTTTTGTTATTTATAAACGTAAGGTTCCATTTTCCATTTACGGTATTTTGTAATATTTAAAAATTGAAATGGGACTCCAACAATGTTGCCGAATGTTTTTGAAAAATAGCAGTGTTTCAGCCCTAATGTTATATTAAATCATAAGAGATCAAAGTTTACAGAATTACCCTTGCAATATGCCTTTGAAAAAACAATAATTGAGGTAAAAATTTAATATAGAAATTTACTTGCTGAAAACTGGGCTGATATTTTTGGTGGAAACATAGCTTATGACCCTATAACTTTCTGGAAAAAACTTAGAACTTTACGTAATGCAGCTGGCGAATTATTATTTGATGAACTTTCCTTATTTGCATTCAAAATGTTGAGTTTACCTAGCTCAAATGCTACCGTTAAAAGAGTTTTTTCTATTATATAGTGAAAACAAAAATTAAGAATATAATAATGCTAAAACTTTTAAATTCGATTCTGTGTATAAAATATTATTTTTACACAAACAGTATTTGTTGTAAAAATTTTGAACCTTCTACAGATATGCTGTCTCTATTTACACCAAAAATGTATAAAGAAGGAAAAGACGCTGACGCTGGAATGCGTTTAGAAACCTCGCACGGCGCGTCTGGACCACTGAACTATATAGTTATAATGGAACGCTAGAGCCTATATTTAAAAGTTGACCACTTTAAATTCGCGCATCACATTAAAAGAGCATTTCTAATCATGCGCACTAAAGAACTTGAACAGGTTCGGTTTTGCCAATACGTAATTTTAAAACGAAATTAAGGAAAGCTAAAGAATGTATTATCAATGAAATTAATGTTTAAATAAATGCTAATTATATTAGTTTATTTCAATAAATATGTTCTAAATCACTTTAATTTTGATAGATTCTTAAATCTCATTTAAAAATAAAAATGGTAATGTCTAACACTCACTCACTACGAGTATGTTTGCATCATAAGCCTCAGGTGAATTTTGCAAATCATAAAAATTTGAAATGAATATTCTGTGAAAGTTACAAACTAAACTTTATTTACGTCTATCATAAAAGCGTAAGTCTAAAAACAAAAACTAAAATTTTAATGAATTATATTTTTTATTTACAATTGATAAATTACAATTTACATTAACAATGTTGATTTAAAAAAAAAGAGGTAAATAAAACAAGGGTGGTCCTTAAGATCTCAGAAGAGTAATTTAATACGACCGGTTTCGAGGAGAGCAGATCCTCATCATCAGGTATGGTCTAAAATAGATAGGTAAAAACGAATGAGCTCATAACTAATAAAGTGGGTTTAAAAAATTATGAAAGTTGTCAAATATCAAGAACCCACCCGTATTACTCATCTATTTAAGACTAAGCTTAGAGATTATCACAGGGTCGGTGTAAAAAACAAGTATGCGAGTATTTTTTAAGAAATGCATAAAAACAGTAGTTGCAACAAAAAGTTGATGTCAAAACACAAGTAGGTCTAAAACTATTAATTAAAATTATTAAAATATTTCATGAACGGACAGACATTAAGACAAAACAAATTTAAAACTTTTTTAAACCCTACAAGAACTAAAATGGGCTCTTAGACAACATGAAGTGTTTATAATTCTGAAGGTATAATTTTTTATTTTAGATTAATATCTTAATTAGTATCTTTAATCTAAAATAAAAAATTATACCTTCAGAATTATAAACACTTCATGTTGTCTAAGAGCCCATTTTAGTTCTTGTAGGGTTTAAAAAAGTTTTAAATTTGTTTTGTCTTAATGTCTATCCGTTCGTGAAATATTTTAATAATTTTAATTAATAGTTTTAGACCTACTTGTGTTTTGACATCAACTTTTTGTTGCAACTTCTGTTTTTATGCATTTCTTAAAAAATACTCGCATACTTGTTTTTTACACTGACCCTGTGATAATCTCTAAGCTTAGTCTTAAATAGATGAGTAATACGGGTGAGTTCTTGATATTTGACAACTTTCATAATTTTTTAAACCCACTTTATTAGTTATGAGCTCATTCGTTTTACCTATCTATTTTAGACCATACCTGATGATGAGGATCTGATCTCCTCGAAACCGGTCGTATTAAATTACTCTTGTGAGATCTTAAGGACCACCCTTGTTTTATTTACCTCTTTTTTGAACATATAACTCACACATGGCTACTACCTTCAACTTTAATGTTGATTTAATTTAGACTGAGTTACAAAATGGAAATATAATTATTTAAAACATTTGTAACTATTGTTTATTATGTTCATACGTTTGCAATTTGATATACAGAATTGCCATCAATTGCTAACTTTAAATGTAGAAATATAAGCAAATATTAATACCTTGGCATCATATTGGTACAAGTCGACAGTGGTTGACGAATTCCCAAATTGATACTAGGCACAGCATCTCTTTTTAACAATGTTCTGTTTTTTAAAACAACAAAATCAGAGTCAGTAAAAAGTGCACTACAAATTGCATTGTGACTGGTTAGCATTTCACTGTCTGGATTTCTCCCTAGGGCTCTCATCCAACTATTGTGTCTGATCTTTGTTAAACTGTATGGTAAAAAAAACATTTATGTATCAGTTCATCTGATTAAAATACGGTTACAAAAGTGCAGAAGACTATGCATTAATTGTAGTAAGATCTCTAAATAACAATTTGCGTTAATTTATATTTAAAGGGATACTTACAAAAAAAAAACGGTGGCTTTTTGTTATTACAAAAAAGCACCATACATTTTCGCACCATTCTGTTAAGTCCGTTCAGTCACTTAAATGTTCTGAGTAAAATATTACAATAATCTATATAACAACTAAAATATAATTCGAAACCACCAAAAAAGAAACACCCTCTAAAACAATAAATAAAAAATATGTCAACACAAACAAATTCCACAATGCCGAAAAAAAGATCTAATCACTGACGCCTATTCTGTAAAAATCTGTCAAATGATGGAAACAAATCTTAAAGTGCGCAGACTCAATAATACGTTTTACAACAAAAGTACATGCCGTTCAAAATAATTTACCATCAATTTCAAGAGCATAAGCGGTCAAAAAATACCACGCGCATGTATTGTTATTAGCCCCCAGGGGGACAATTCTCGACTTGTAGGAACCTTTTCCTATAGGAATTTGTGACACTTTCCTATATGTAGGACAATGTCATAAATTTTCGATGTATATAAAAATGTCAAAAATTCCTATAGGAAAATATTCCTACGAGTCGAGAATCGACCCCCAGATGTAATAATAGAAAATGCAGAGCTATACATGCCAATTTTAATAGCTTGAGTTCTATTACTTCCCACTAAACATGAAACATTACCAGTCTTTTTTGGAACGTTTCTCATAGAGACTTTTTTTGATATATTTTTGAAACGATACTAAAATATCCCATATATGTTTAAAGTTTATCATATTCATATTCATTAACATTCCTCGCATATATCTACAAATGAAGTTTTATGTACGCTGCAATACTTGAATTAGTAGTTTCATAAACATCTTTTGTACTTCCTGTGACAAACATTTATACGATGTTAATTTTTATAAATCACAATAATATCGCATACAGGTCAGCACAGTAATGTGTACAAGTTAAACATCTTTAGTCTTTAGATCGCAGACCTGGCAGACCTAACAGTTCGTCCCGCGTTCGTAGATGGAGATACCAATGATCGCTTGCTACTTACGTAACCGGTAGACTGTATATTATGGAGCAGTCCGTTGCCCAGTATTAAGTATTTCACCAAAGTTCTTACTTTTGCCTTTAATATTAA